TTCTTTTTTCTATGATTTTAATTGAATAAATTTATCAAATGTCTTGCCACTAATAATTAACAACCGATAGCAGTGTACTGATAACAAGCAAACGTTATTAAACTTTTCAACACTCTGATAACAGCTATTCTGATCAGCAATTTTTAAGCTTGTATCAAAATTTTCCAAATCTGCGACAATTTAGCTAAGAATTACATTCATTTATAACAAAATTCTGGTTTTCCAGAAATCAACCAAAAATTTTCTCGATCAAATCGTTTGCAATTTTATTGATCTCTAACAAACATCAGATTTGATATTTTTTTTTAAAAAATATTCACACTTTGTATTCACAATGACCGTTTAGGAGTCAAATCGATCCGAGAAATCCAAACATGAGTAAATGAATATATATGTGACAGATTTTAACGGAAATTTTGAAAAAAAATAGAATGTATAAATATTTTTACTCCAAGTGCAAAAATTCAATTACATGTTCTAATTTTATATATTTTACAACAACTAATCTGCTCCCTTTCCCCACAAAAATATTCATCCCAGCAAAAGAAGATTAAAAAAAATTTTTTTGGTGGCTTTAGTAAATGGAAAAAAAGTGGAAATTTTGGTTGAACATCTGCTGTAGCATAAATCATATAGTTTGCTGCTTCTGTTGCTAGCATTAATGAATCTTACCAATGAAATGCACCAATTATTTACCATTTATTCTTCTCTTGAACTTCTTGAAATTTCAGACGGAATTTTTAAATTTCAAAATTTTTGAAAGAATATTCGCAAATATATTGCGATTGAAAAAAAATAAAAAAATACATTAAAGCATTTTTCAATCGCTATTAATGATATTAATAATAATTACAATTATGCGTATTGATAGTGTCAAAAGATTGTGATGGAAAGATGTACATAAAATGACCAATGTATTGTGCAGTTGATTTCTAGGCCTAATATTTTTATATTATTAAAATAAGAGCAATGTAAAGACCTGACAAACATGAAAACTAATGCATATTATCGGTGATAATTTCTGTTTATCATCTTCTTTTATTTCCATTTATCTCTTCTTGTTCATTTCTGACGAGATGGTTGAATAATATTTCATTAATTTATGAATTTCGAATAAGAATTGTTCCGATGAGATGAGAGAATTCGTATGATCCGAAACCTTTGATAGATTAACGGATAAGTTTTATGAATCATGACTGATAAGTGTAATGACAATGATGACGATGATAATAACGAGAGAGCGATCACGACATAACAATAAAGCAAACGAATGTGGTGTGAAAGATAACGATATCAGCGGGCATTTACTAATTCTTAGGAAAAAAGATGGAACAATTTGTAGAATTTCAAGCTAATTTGAATAGAATGAATTAAAAAATTTGAATTCATAGCTAAAATCATTTTTAGTTTCAGAAGAAATAAGCAAATTCTTTGCATTATATTAAATAAATTTTAAAAATAAATGAATATAAATTTTTGACATAAACAAATTTAACAAGTAAGTTCTGAATTAAAAAGTTTAAATTAATAATTACAACCAAGTGAAAGTCATTGCTACAACCATTTTAAATAGCTTGTTGCGCCCGAACAAACTAAAATGGATGAGTGAATTTTAGGAGTTAAATTTATACTGAATAAAAGTATTAGTAATAAACATATCATTAATAATAAACATGGTTATAAACAAGTTTGCACCACATTTTTGGCACCCCACTGAGTAACATCGTTGCTAATCAACAACAAGAATTTAAATGAAACTTTTCATTTCAAATCAAGATGACATTCCCGACAAAAAATTTGCTCATCAAAACTGAACAATTTCAATCTACAATCTAATTATATATTCGATAACTTTCATGCACCCATTAACCTTTGAACTCTGAGATGCTTATCTCCATAGCCCCATATCTTTTTCAGCAAAAATTTACTTGATTTAAATAATTTTTTTAAGGAAGTTAATTTTAGTTTTCGAAAAGTAATTTAAATTCTTTGCACTGATAAACGAATTTTAAAAATAGATGGAAAATGAATCCTTAAAAAATGTAATAATGAAAAAAAGTTTGAATTCAGAATCTGACGTATATTGCAGACATGCTTTGGATCTGAAATACGTGAGATAAAATGAATGATTGTTAAAATTGTTATGCAAGCAAAAGATTATGCATGTTGATAGAATAATAATCTCAAAAGATAGGTCTTTTTTTGTCGGTTATTTTAATCTGATATCGAATAATGTTCAACATTTCCAAACATATCAATTTAGATTTTGAATGATTAAAAAAGAATTTCTTTCCAGCAAAATATAAAATTTTTATTTGTTCCACAATTATTGCTGTTACAAATGATAATGCATTTTGTAAGATGCGTCTTTTTACCAGAAAATTTTCCAGTAATATTATTAGCGAAATCAAAATTTAAATTTTTGTACACCATCCTCATTTCCTCCAGACACTACCAGTTACCGCCAGTTTGAATCAACTGGGCGCAAAAACCGGAAAATTATGAACTAAAACCCGTTTCAGTGAAACTGAGAAACATGGATGTAATTACATTATTTTACTATTAATACAACAAGTACTACTTGATACTTCTATTACTATTACTAACTCTATTACTGCTACTTATTACTTCTAAACTACTTTTACTACTTTATTACTATTCTATTACTATTGCTACTATTATTGTTATTATTTGTTGCTATTAGAAATTGAACAGTTTGTTGGAGTCATTAAAAATTGAATTATGAATAAATGCAAAATAAATTGTTCGACTATAATGATTTTCTTCCAAAGTAAGGCCAATAATTTTGCTACAAATATTCTCATCAAGCATTACAATAATCATTGTACATATTATTACAACGACGATTACAATGAGAAAACGATCCTACCGTACCTAACAAATAATCTCATCTTAACGGTATGGAATTCAGGAGGAGGAAAATAATAGTAGTAATAGAAAAACCATATTGCTGTCATCTTCAATCAAGCATTTCTGTGATTTGACGCTACAAGGACAACAGTACTCTAAACTCTAATATTTCAAGGCTAAATTTATTTATATGATGGTTTCAGTCTGAAGCTATTTCATAAATAGATACTTTAAATATAACAATCAATACCAATAAATTTAGCAACTAATAATAATTTTTTACTCTCAGCTAAGTAAACAAATTGTTTACCATAGTGGGTTCAATTATCGCTTGTAAAATTTTCAGAAAGGAAAGAATGATGTTGAAATGATATAAAGAACGGTTCAGGTAAAGATATATGTTATGATGAGGGAGGATAGAGAATTACCAAATTTACCAGAGCTGTCTATTCCGTTAACAAATCTAATTTAGACCACTCCTGAAAATTGAATTTGCATAAAGGAGCAGTTTCGATGAACTTTCCTCCTTCGCCTTCCACAACAACCTATGAAAGAGGCAAATGAAGAAAGTTACTTGCTGCTATTGACAAACTTCCATGACGCAACTTACTCAAAACTTTTCCTCATGCAAATTTCATTCTATAATTTTCGAAATATGCAGCAAAATTGAACAGAACAAACAAAATATTGTAAAAGTAGCACTCGTGAAGAAAAAATTCTGAAATTGACAAAATTCAATTACAATTTCTAGGAAGGGTGAAATTCATTGATATCTCTTAAATTTATTCCCGAATTTCAATTATTTTTCTAAATCGATGATTTTCTCTAGATGAACTACTGGATGAACAAATGGACAAATGTAAAATAAATGAAAAAATTTATTACAAGGAAAATTGTAAAGTTGTAAGAAGACTGTAATATAGAAGTAATAATAGGATGATTTTAGATTAAAATCGATTCATGGACTAATTTTTCGGAAATATAAACCGTTATGTGTGAAGAATGAAGCGAATAAACGAGCATATAAATGTGTTGAAGATGAAAGTACGTGAGAAAATGAACGATCACGTAAATGATCAATCAATGAAATGTAAATGGATGAACAGAACGCTGAAGAAAAAAAGATTTTTACATAATCTTCTGCACAATATGCAGACGGAAAAATGCAAATTAACGAATAATTGGTGATAAACTGCGTGTGTGTGTGTATGTGTGTGTGTGTGTGTGTGTGTGT